GAGCCAGCGGAGTGAACGTCGTGGGCGGCGGCCCACGCACTTAGCTCCGACCGCGCACTGACGAAAAAAGAAGACAACAACAACAATCGGCGCACAGCTAATGAAGACAGTCAGGCCGGCCGCAGTTATTTTCCAGCGAAAATCGCCAGATCGGATCGTAATGGTGTTGTGCACGCAGCAGACAAGAGAAGGCAAGAGAAGGCAAGAGAAGGCAAGAGAAGGCAAGAGAAGAGAAGAGAAGGGCAGTTGGTTGCGGATAATTGCTAGCCGTATGGCGTGCGCGAGATATTTGCTTATTTATTTAGGTATTGGTAGTTTATCGGCGCATCGCGATCCTTTGGAAAGTGCCATCAATCGGGCGCGAACAGACGCGTAATGGCATACTGTCAAACACCTTGCAACAGCGGCAGCAGCAGCATCACGCTCATCCGTAATTTTTATTCGGCAACTTTCGTGCAGCGCCCATCAAGAGCGCACGGCCAACTTTAATAAACAATTAAAACAGTAAATACTCGGACATTACCCGGCTGGAATTATAAATTTTTGATGACACTGCTGGCGCTGCCGGATTTGCATGTTTCAGCACCGTTAGCTGTATTTTCGCGCGCTCGTAATTCATCGATACTCTGCAATCAGCAGCACCACTAGCGGCCAGTCCGTCCGAATTACTCGTCGCATTCACGACGACACCTTCGTAAATGCGCGTCCCTTGATCGACGTCAATCAGCGAACGCAAAGCATCGATCGCGATATACCTCGTGCTCCGGCACAGGGAGGAACGCGCGAGGACAGGCAGCCACTACCATGCCACTAGGTGCCCACGCGTTTTATTCCGAAACAGCGCGAACATTGGCCGACCTTCCGATCGCTTTTTCAGTTTCGCTCAGCCAGAGACTCGCCAGATATTGCGTGTCCGAGCATAATAGCACCTGGCGCTCGCCAACGCACCGCTCGATTTGCTCGCTCTTTCGCATTGTTCGCGAGATAAGCGCGAGCCTCGTCTCGTGTAGGCATTTCATCGCGCGCAACCGTTTCGAATCGCCAACGCTGCGCCACGCCGATAGATCAATTTAAACATCAACCTGCGCGCCTATTATTTTCGCGACCTCGCCCCATTGCGAGCGGCATTTTTGCTAAGCGCGCGCCCAGATTTATTAGTTACGTAGCTACATCACGAAAGCTCGAGCCGACTTTGTGCATGGAGTTCACGTCGAGCTCCAATGGCTAATAACCGCGAATTAAGATATTTGACGAAGATGAGCTGCGCGTATATATACGCAAGATCGCAGGCGAAACTCGTCGTACATCAGCGATGTTAAGGAGAACGCACGCCGCCGCCAGTTGGACTCGCAATGAGAGCGAGCGAGAGGATGCTGGTCGAGCGAAGCGGCGGAAGGTGAAAATATTGCGATCACGATAAAAATCGATACGACTGGGCTTAATGGCTCGCGATTACAGGCCGCTGTTTTGGTGCTGGTCTTACACAGTCCGCCACCGCCGGCGCAGCGCCAAATTATCGAATATTTCGGCGGCCGTTTAACGCTGTACGAGAGTGCAATTAGAGTGCGACCGAGAGCGAGCGGTGATCATTTTTTTTCTTTTCTTTTTTTTTTTTTTACAGCAGCAGCAGCAGCAGCAGGCGGAGTGGCACAGAGTGGCGCAAAATGCGCAGGCGAAGGAAGAGAAAGAAAATCGATTCGTCAATCGCGCGCCACCGTTAGTGAAAGTTGGCTCTGGGCTGTCGATCCCGGTGCCGATTGATCGTGCTTGCACACCTCTCGGCGAGCAACTTTTCGACCGCGTGCTCACACCGTCGACGGAAGGACGGAGCAGACGGATAACAAGGCGGACGGGGCTTTGGCAAGTGAAAAACCGAGTGGCGGTCGAAGGGGAGACGCGTCAGCTCTATAAATAAATCGGCGCGTTGCTCGAGCGCACGGCTATTGATCGTTGCATATTCATAGGGGCAGGCGGCGCGGCGGCTAGAGCTGCTCGCGCGTGTCGCGCCGCGCGCCGTGGCGGCGGGCCAGTGGGCGAACCGGATCGCGCGCCAGCGCACCGGAAAGAGCAAACTATATCGCGCATTGAAATCGCAAGTCGCGTTTGAGCCGTGACAGAGAGACAGAAGCGCCCGCAGAAGTATCGCTCGAAGAGGCGAGAGAGTGATCGCGCAGGCACGGCGAAAGGAGGCGTTCGTCGTTAATTCGAGCTGCAGCTGTCGATAAACAGCGAACCGCGGACGAATTAATTGCGCGAACTGCTCGCTGCCGCTGGCAGAGATGTTGCGCGACGAGCGCTTGTTCGCCCTTTTTTCTCTCTCTCTCTCTCGCTCTCTTTCTCCCTTTCTCCATTTGGTCCTACTCCTGCAGTCGCTAGCCGATGAAAATTGGGAGACTTACCACAGCTGCCCAATCGTTGGAGGCTTTGCTACTTGTTCGGCGCAAATAATTCGAAATACATTCAACTATAAATATTTCTTGAAGTATGTTTCCTGTTCTATATTTACGACATCGCCAAGCGATAAAGTCGCGGGGCAAGACAGAGCGCAAGCGAGACTTATTTGCAGCAAAGCAACGCGTGGCGCTACCCTAGCGAGCGCGCACTTGCCGTGAAGCAGCACAGCCAGAGTCGATCAGCCTGGGCTTGGGCAAGATGCGCGCGTATCAATTCGACTCGAAGGCTGTTCGCGAGGCTCGAACGAAGCGTGCGATCGGCAGAGGAGAAGGCGAAAAAGCGTACAACGCGCGTGGACGCTCGACTCTCGGCTCTCGGCTCTCGGCTCTGCCCACGGCCCACGCGCGTAACACCGGTGTTTTATAACAGGCGGCGCGCTAGTCCCGCCTCAATAGCCTCTTCTTCTCTCGTTCCGTGCGCCTGCTTTATAACGTTGTTGCGCCTCCGCAATTATGATACCTGTATACTCGTTACTTTAGCCAGGCAGCGCTCGCTCTGCGCCTCTTCCTCGCCTTCCGTCCGCTTCACCTTTCCGCGCTCGCTGCTTGCCTTCGCGGGCAAACGCGTTATCTCAAATCAGAATCAGGCGTACATCGTCGCCTTGCCAGATTTTCATCGGCTAAGGGGCTCCTTTAGCACGCCACAGTAAGCACTGGCGACCGATCTCATCATGCTTGACCAAGCAACGTCTTGCGGACGTTTGCAGCAACGAAACAATTGGTGCGCAGCGTTACGGCAGGTGCACAGCGCGCATCGGCGTTGGCACCGATCGCGAGCCACGCAATGTCATAGACACCGCCGATTGGCATTCGATTCAGCACTGACTCGGCCAGTCGACGACGGAAGGAAGTCTAAGCAATTGGTATGCAAGAGCCGCCATAGTGTAGCGCGCAAAGGGGCACGCGGAGGCGAATACGAGCAACGAGATGTAGAGACAAAGAGAAAGGGCGCTACGAGCGACCTAACACATGTTTATTCCACTTGGATCGATATTTTCAGCGGCCTACTTACTCGAGCTCCCGAAAACTGTCCGTTGCGGCAAACCCATCGCGCCTGCTGTATGAAACGGGAATAACAGCGATGCGAACTACGCGGTGGTGAAAAATCAGAATCTTAACGTTAATCTTAACATACGACTGAAGATGAGAGTTGGGAGCGACAGGGGCCAGTGGCTAGGCATCCCAAGTGCCAAATCGAATACTTGTGCGCGGTCGATAACGCGAGGACGACAGTCGGCGCAGGCACGTAACGAGTGAACGGGACTTGCTCTCTTCCTTCCGTAGCCGATCGTCAGCCCGAGAGAAGGTCGTAGCTATATCGAGGCGCATCAAAACAAAGCACCTCCAGAGCCACCTCGTCGCCCACCTATTTTCTGTTTTTCACTTTCTAAGCCTCTATTGCCGAGCAACGAGTGCGCGCATGTTTATTTATGTCGCGCATTAAAGGCCGAACGTCCTATCAAAGTACAGAGGCGTTCTAGTTTTCATAGCCTTGTTAAATTTTCACGATTTAGTGCGAGCTTCATCTGGCGAACATTCGCGGTGATTTACGAAAATCGAACAAATGTCCAGCTGCTGGACGAAACGAAGAACAATACTAAAGCGCTGCTTGCGCTCGTTGCGACTGATGTTGTATTTAATAACAGCGGCAGAGTACCGAAGAATTATTATATTTTGCATGCGAATTGCAAGTTGAGGAAAAGAGAATAGGTGGAAAGAGAAGAGTAAAAGTGAAAAGGCAGCAGTGAGTGTTCGCTCATTAGGGGCATAAAGATTTGAGCGAAGCTTGGGGCAATTTCACGGTCAACGTACTGCAGCAATGCACTTCAGTTAATAATCAATCGGCAAGGGGCCACTTATCGACTAACGCTTGAAAGCGAGCCGAAGAATTCACAAAGCGCGCGCTTCTCGGCGGTAAAAACCATGAAACGAACGCTTCCGCGCATGCGCGGCGATAATTCTCTCGTAAAACTTGCTTTTTCCTCGGCTTTTCTTCCTGTCTTCGGCATTGCAACTGTTACGAGTGTATAAATGATGCTTTGCTAACTGCTGTAATGTTAGTTCGGCGCGCGGGTCCGGGGCCGAATCACGTCGGTTAATTATCGGAGTTTGCTCGTGGTGCGCAAACAAAAAGGCCCGGACTGTGCGATATTGAGCTCGCCGAGATTTTTAATTTAAGCAGCTGATCGAAAGAAAAGATGAAGGTCGTGAGTATGATACTTAATAAATAATTTCCACGTAAAAACCGTCATCTTCTTTAATTCATTGTGCGTCGCGCGCTCACCTAAATGGTTCAAAGAATTCGCCGAAGCTTCGCCGATGCGCTGGCTTTTTAGTGCGATTTTAACCAAATTAATTAATACCGAAAGAAGAAAAATCCACTCGCAGGATTGTCGAGTACGAGCAGTCGGTCCAATTAAAACTCATTAATTTCAGATATGCCAGTTAATGATTTGCCGGAGGGCCAAGTGAATTTGAAAAGGGCCAATTTTCGTGGGAAAAGATTCATTACAAGAGAATAGCGCAGCACAGAGACGGGCTACTCACATTCTTTGTTGCGTTCCATGGCCTGCTGAAGGGGCGAGTCGTCGACCTCCACCTTCGGAGGCGACTGATTACCCTCGGCCATTTTCGCCCCGTTCGCTATCTTCTTCAGAACGATGTCCGCGACCTTATCCTTCGATGGAAACAGCTTTGGCGTGCTCTTGTATCCGTACGCTGCTCTGCTTTCGAACAACATGTCGTTTTAATGACGCTGACCAGCTGAAGGGACGTCGTCGTTGGGCAATACCCATTTCCATATGGAACGCAGTAAAATTGATGCCGAGGACGGATCATACAAACCTTTCTTCTTTGATTTCTCGTTCTCGCTTATCCTTGCGGCCCTTGATAAGACCTTCTATCTTTTTCAGCTTGGACTTGAGCTTGGACTCGGTTTTGCCAATCCTACGCGGCGAACTTTCGTGCTTGACGCGTGGCTCGCTGGTAGAGTCGGCCGGCGCTGCGGTAGCACCCGCGATGCTGGTGCTGCTGCTACCGCCGTTGCTGCTGCAAGGGCTGCTGCTGCTGCTGCTGCTGCTGCTGCTGCTGTTGCTGCTGCTGCTGCTGCTACTGGTGCTGCTGCTACTGCTGCTGCTGGTACTGCTGCCAGGGCTGTTGCTGCTGGTGCTGCTGCCGCTATTGCCGCTCAGCGGCAGCGACGTGGAGGCGTTTGGCCCAGAACTCGAGGCTCTGCTGCTCGTGTAGTCCTGTGATTAGCGGGAATTAGTGCTTGCGGACTATCGTTACGCGTCTGACCGTGCTCGATGTTTTAACGAAATTTAGCTGACCTTGAACCACTCTGGGTATATCGAACTAATAGTATCGAGAAGATCTTGATCCAATTGAATCCTCCAAAACGGGGAGCCGCTGTCCAAGCTGTGGCCAGACTCTGTAAAAACGAGAAGATAGTTATCGAACATCCAGCTGGACGCACCTTTACAATATTCACGAACGGTATTTTATCGTCTACTAATGATGTAGCAAGTCTAAAGCGTTCGGCAGGATGTCAGTGCTGACCCTGAATTTTGAATCACACAATTAAAGTTCGGTAGCACGACTCGGCGATACAACCTCAGAATCGGTAATCAAAAAGAAAACACAAGTTTCAAAATCGTCATTACATAGACTTGGACGATTGCTCTGTGGAAAGCTCGTTTTCGAAAAGTTCCGCGGGTATAGCTATCACTGCTGCCCACTAATTTTGGTCCTTCGGTATTGGTCCTTGGCGCGAAGGCGGCGACTGGAGCGACTGGAGAGCGCGAGGCCGATCGTGCAGCTGGATATGGCGTTAAAGGTTCGACAGGGCGCCGAGAAAATGCCGAGAGACCGACTGATGCGTAACTGATCGCGAAGGGAAAAGAAGGAGCGCAGCGCTAGCCCGTAGCTTGCCGCGGGAGAGATGAGCGGGCCAACTAGCAAGCGAAGAGGAGCCGGCCGAGAAACCGGTGAGCGGCCGTGATTTGAGTGGTTAATAAACATAGCAACACGTTCGCGGGCAGTCGAGCGAGAGCCGTTGAGAAGAGGACGACGATCGGTCCGTCTCATCAACGGCCGAGACACGTCGCAGCTGCAACATCACATTCGAAGTAAGTGCTCGAGTGCGCCGGGGCAAAAAATAACCATCGCCGAAGAGAGATGGACGAGCGTCGCCCAAGCCCATCCGTGCGGTAGGTGAATAGGTGGATGGCGATCAACGAGTCGTTGGGTCGTCGGGTGAGCGTTGCGGAGGAAGCGGCCGTTCAACGCATCATAGCCAGATCGCGCGTATCCGTGCAGGCCGAAGGCCGTCGATCAGGTCTCATTCGAGAATCGAGAGCCGAGGTCGCTCGGCGTCGAGAGTCGTGTCATCGCGGGCGAGACTCGCCGCCCCCTGGCCGGTCGTCGCGCGATTTCTCTTTTCCCACTCGTTTTTTCTGCGCCGCGGCTTTCTTCCGCTGCTGCGCTCACTGCGCGAGATTGAAAATGAGCGGCGACCAAGTGGGGGAGGAGGAGGAGGAGGCGGAGGAGAGAAACCGGTGGCCGCGGCGGCGGACCTCGTTACGGCGACATTCTGCTGCTGCTGCGAGAGACGCGTGCCTTGCCTTCCAGATGGGCAATCGAACGAGGAAGGTCGCAACTCGGACTTTCAGAAATTTCAGCTGATGATCGCGGCCGGCCGCGCCGCCCGTGCCGCCCGCGCCGCCCGCGCCGCCCGCACCGCCCGCGCCGATAGCATCGCGGCCCGCTCCCCCGACGAGCAGCACGAGCAAGCTCATTTATGTATCGTGTTTCCAGATTTCGAGGCGCTGATTTTCAGTGGCGCACATCGCAGCGCGCCGAGTGCACTGAAAGCGGACACCGCTGCTGCGCGGCGACAAATTGTTCGAGGAAGCTGCCACCGGCGCGCCGAGGCAGCTGGCAGCAGCCCCACTTGTCCTGTTATGGCGCTCGCGAGGAATATTGCGCAGCCGGAATATCGGAGCGCGGCGCTGCGATAAATAAGAGGATGAGAGGCGATCGGCGCGGAATAGCGCGAGGCGCGAGCCGACAGCGACAGGCCAGTCTGACCTTAACCCAGTAACGGGCGCGCGCTGCACAGGCGACGCTGGCCGAGCTCGCGCGCTGCAATAACGAAACGAGGCGAGAGTGCGCTCCGTAAATCAGCTCGCGGTGCCGCCGCGTGAATCAGCTCGTGCGCGCGCGCGCGCGCGCGCGTTCGCGCTCCGGCCAGACTGCCGACTGTTTGCCGCGACGCTCTGCCTGGCATCGCGTATAAATTACTCGCGCAGGCTCCCGCGGCACAGTGCGTTCTTCACCGCAGCCGCGCTCGCGGCATTAGTCGCTGATTTGATCTCCGTCTAATTGGCGGAGGTGCGCGCGATTCGAAAATTGATCGCTCTGCAGCTGCGCCGGGAGAGCCATTTGCGGACACTGACGGACGGATTGTTAGCCGAGCAATAACCGCTTCCGAATTGGCTCGCGAAGAGGCAAGGCAAATCTTGTTAGGCGCTCGCTGACAGAGGCATCGCCGGCTGCGCCAGCGCGGGACTGGAAGCGGCGGGCGGACTCGCGCGGCCGCGCACCCGCGCACCGATATATCACTATCGGCGTCTCGATCGCCGATCAGATAAGCGCGGTAGCGCGTCTTTAAGAGCGTTCTAACGGCCACGGCCTCGTCGTTATGTCCTCTCAACTCGCTCTCGGCCCCGATGGGCCGCTCTCGTGCAGCGAGACCCCGCAGCTCAATTTGCATCCGTAGCGGCGCGCTCATTTGGCAAAAAACGAGCGACGCAGCGGCATCGTTTACGAGCTCGTTAAACCGACGTGCAGGCGCGCGAGCATGCCTCTTCCGCTTGGCTCGATTGATGCAAACTAACAAATTTGCCGCGATAACGTCGTCCCCCGGGAAGCCGTAAAAATCGCAATCGCATCGCCGGCCGACGCTCGTCGCTCAACGGCCCATGGCCGATGAGCTTGCGCGTCGCGCTCCAACGACATTCCGGCTTTTACGGCGCTGTCAACGCGCGTGCATTTCCCATTGACAGCATCGAGCGCTGGAGGTGCCGCGACGAGCGCCCTCGTTCGCTTCGCACTGGTCGGAGAGGAGCACAGAAGCGCAACGGCCAGCGAGTAGGTAGCGAGGGTGAAAGTGACGTTTACTCGTCTTGTTTCTTGGCCCATTGTATTGCTCGCGGCCCAACAATAGGCGCGCGGGCAAAAAAATCTAATTGATCCGTGCAAACGAGAACACGCGAGGTCGCATAGTTGCTGGATTCCGATGTAAAAGCCGACCTCTCCGGCGTCGCAGAGCCGCGCGCACGCCGGCGCACCGAGTGTGTAGTCCCGGAACGCCGCGCGAGCTCTATGATATTCAGCTGCAAAACGAGCAACAGCGCCGACACGCAGACACACACACACACACACACACGTAGCAGAGAGAGCATGCGGGCCTCGACTCGCTCACGCGCGACGACGACACTACTGCACGAGGAATCCCGAGAGCGCTGCTGCACAATGGACCTCGGCGCGTGCTCATTAGACCGAGGGTCGGAGGTCGGCCGCGAGGCCAAGACTTCGTTATCATACTCGCGGAAGCTTGCTGCGCGACGACTCGGACGGAGCCAGTGTCGAACATCGAAGCGACGACGTTGGCAAATACTGGCAGTGGCGGCCAACAAACGAGAGCCAGCCAGCACTCGGTAGGCGCGTCACGAAGCGAACAGGTCCAATTGGGGGGCCCTCGAGGAGGGCCGGCAGAAAAAGCGCGGCGCGCACGCAGCTCAGGCAAATAAAGGCCCGAAAAGCGGCGCAATTTCACGGGGCTGCCGAGAAAAACTGGCGACGGCACGAGCTTTCTAATTCGATAATTCCAGGCAACGAGGAAGCTGCAACGGCCGTCCCGAGCGCAAAAAGCCGAGGGGCGAGGCAGGCCCCGCCTCGAGCGCTCTCGCCTGCGGATTCCGGCGAGCCGAATCGGTAGCAGTGCGGGCGACGCGGCTGGCTTCGCCGAACCGCGAGCGCGCGCCCCTTCGCCTCTCCCGTTGCGTGCCTCGCGCGGACAGCTCGGGTGTCGGGCGATGTTCGCGATTTGTGACGCGTGCCGCCTTCTCGTTATCGGCCTCCCACTTTCCGTTGCGACCGAGTTCGCTCGACGGACCAGAGTCGCCGGATCGCGCATCGGTGGACTCGCCGTGCCGCTAATCGAAGTAGCGCCGCGGCTCGATTGCGGACGCTCGAGCGGCAGCCGCAAAACGTCTTTGTCCGGCGGGGCTGCTGTCGCGGGCGGCCGCCCACTGGCACTACAAACGACGAGGCTGGCTTGCGAAAAGCCCATGCGGCTGCATTATTGAACAGGCGCATTAAGCCGCGCAGCGCATGCATGAAGAAGCAGCAGCGGAGCCGGCTTATGTCATTAAAATATGCGAGCAGCGGGCGGGGATTGCAAGCGAGCGAATCAATTGGATGCACATGGGCACTGAGATTGAGGCAGGACGCCCGCGCCGCCGGGGCCCCGCGTATTTATTTGAGCTTAGAGAAGAGGCAGTGGGACGAGCGGCCGCGGCGGACTTCCCTGGAATGCATCGGGCGCATCGGGCGCATCGGGCGCATCGGCTGCGCCGCACTGGCCAACCGGTTCGTTATTGTTTTCCAGCCGCGATATGCAACAGTCCCCCCGTCATTTTTTCTTCTCTCTTTCTTCCCCGCGAGGGCTACGCGCGCGCAGCTCTCCTCTCTTTCTCGCGCGTCTTCTTCCCGTCCTCCTCCACCTTCTCGTTCACAAGCTCGAGTCGACGACCCCCATTGAGAAAGAGAGAGAGAGAGAGAGAGAGAGAGAGAGAGAGAGAGCGAGAGCGGGACACTTCAACAGTTACGTCTCTTTCTCTCGTAAAGCCGACGCAATTAAAAACGTATTCGGCCTCCCTAGCAAAGAGGTATTTTTCATTATTTCCAGTCGACTTTATAAATAATCCGACATCGCGATTCGCTCGCGTCGCAACGACCTGCCCTCTGAGCGCAAGCAATTATCGATTCGCCGTCTTGTCCTTGCGGGGCCTAACAGCATACGCAGCATCGGGACGATCGCTCGTCGAGGGCAGCGTGCAACGGGCACCGAACAATACCGATTCGCGTTTGACGCCGAGCCGCGCACAAAGTCGGCGCATCAATGTTCCGGTTATTCCTCGCCTCGCCTCGCCTCGCCTCGCCTCGTCGATGCGTATCTTTGCGGCACAATGGACGCGCGAGCGCGCTACCTCATTTCTCAATAAAGCAGTCGACGATAATATCTGTCAAGCGAGCATACATTTATTCGCGGCAAAATTACATCGCCTTATCTCGCCTGTTGATTTTACTCTCGAAAACCGCTCCTAACTATTTTCATTAATGTCGTTCTCCAGTTCCCTTTCCACT